CAAATGGAATATTATTTATACTAAGCCATTCTTTTATTTCATTTTTGCGGTTTTGTAATGTAGGAGCTTTATTTACAATTACTGAATGATAGCTAGCGTTATCCATAACTATTATACTTGGCTCATTCAAATTAGGTATAAGTTTTTCTTGTAGCCATTTATTAAAATTTGTAGCATTCATGTCATGGTGGTAGTCAGCCATTTTTGACTTAGAGCTGTAAACTATCAATGAGTCTGGTACAGGGCCTCTTTCCGAGCCAGCATGTACAATTATGTACCTTTTTCCTGCTGAAATATTTTCAATCGCACCACTTGTAGAAGGACCTTGCCAAGACTTTTTGGGTTTGTAGTTTTTATGAACATAGGTCTCATCTAAGTAAATTATTTGTTTCCCTTCTGCACGTTTAATACCTATGGCCCTTAAAAAACGGTGTCTCCAGGCAGATATGTCATAGCGTTCAACTAATAATGAACGTTCACTTTTGTTTCTTTGAATTCAAAGCTTTCATTATTTTTTTTAATTATATTAATACGTTATATGATAAATGTGCTTGTAGAAATTGTAAATACGCAATTGTTTATGATTTCTTTAACTCAAATTAAAAAGTAAACATAACAAAGTATCAAAGTAATATTGTTTTACTAACCAAAAAAATTTAATATTACGCGTAAACAACCCTGTTTTTCTTCAAAAACAGATATTTTTTTTATTTAGGTACTAAAATTAAACAATTAAGTATAAGACAAAATCACATACATTGCTCAGATTAAGCCCCCGTATTATGGAGTATCTGAGACAACGAAGGTAGCACAATACCCGAGACAATATAGAAAAGAGTGAAGGAAAAGTGAATATAGTATAGGTCGTAAAATTATTACTGATAATTTATTGGGATTTTGACTTCAAAATTTAATAAGTTACTTCCCAATAAGTCTTCTCTATATAAAATAAGACAAAGAGAAAAAAAGCAGCCCTTGCTGAGTTTCTTATTGGTTCTTCTCAGTACAAGGTCTCCCGCCGTAGATTTGCGAACCGATAGCGTAGTTTTCGACATTCGCAAGTGCTTTTAATAACCTAGACTGGATAAATGATATGGAAATTAAATGAGAATATTTACAAATTATGTAAAACAATAAGCTAAATATGATGATAGTAGTTACGATTAAGATTCAAAATCGAAATTATTTCGCGTCTGATCAAAGATTAAAACAAAATGGTTTCTGCTCAAAATACCTGTTAATTTTGCACACAGACTTTAGTTACTCCACCCGTTTGTGTGTTACTTTGACGCATACATACGAAACTGTTATCTCGCACTACTTTTTGAGAATGCAAAACTCGTCATTAAAATAAAATTGGCTCTGAAAGAGATACCCCCAGTTTTGGTTGGAACCAGATTGGATAATGCTACGGAGTTTAGTGGCACTTTGTTTGATCTACCTGTTACTAGACGGCATTACGTGTCATTTGAATCACGGTAACACTGTTGAAACTCTTGTGTCATATAGGTCTAAAGGACAGCCAAAAGGGGGAAGAAAAAGACGGACCTTTTATAATGCCCAGAAAACACTGGTAGGGCCGAGGCCAACCTAGAATGTTTCTAGGTCCGTAATTGATGTACTTATAGGTGAGTAGACGGAGGACTGTGTGGAACGAAAGAGTTTTGCTGTTATAATTAGTTTCTTTTTTATCAATGGCACATTTATTGGATGTACAAAGGGAGTGCGTTCAGGAGTTGTACGAGCTCATTTCGCCTTCAACGTTTTACAATTGGCAATCTAGACGCACAGCCGAATACTAACCTCATTTGGTAGATATTCAAGATGGCGCACAAAACGCTTTTCATTATGATTTTTTACTGCGTACTGCCAAGGAGTGGAACTCCCTGCCGGTGTATATATTCCCCAGTGCAAAAAACCCAGACCTATTAAAGGCAAGAGTGAATAGGTTCCTTCTAGGCAAGCTCGTCCCGTATATCTCATATGACGGACTTGATTTTAAAAATCTAAAGATGAGCAAAAACCGTCTATGTAGTGGTGATTACTGTGATCACCAATGTTCTATCCAAGAGTGAAAACCGTATCTAATTCTGTTGCGATATTGAAGAGAGGGACAAACGCTATCTTTAGTAGGAACGACAAAGTTGTAGTGTGGGTAATTTATACTATGTAAAGATATATTTTCCGTCTTTTTATTAAAAAACAAACACTTTATTGTGTTTATGTTAAGAGGCACAAGCAGATTTTTTTTTACTAATCTCGGCTTTCGTATAACGCATGGATACCCTAATTTACCGTAACAGCCGAAATAGAGCGTACAATTACATTTAAATAACTTAATTGGGGTGTGTGGGAAATGGGCCTGTTTTGTTTATATCGTTTATAACTCTTGCTTCTTTATAATGGACACGGTCGATATGGTATGAAGTCAACCTACTTTGTTTTACGTAATTACGTAGGTGTGGGTCAATTCATTAATCTCGAGAGAATCAAAAGAAAAATATTAGAATCGGTTATTGTTCCTCGCAATTGAGATTTATCAGTATGATTTACTTTTTTTTATCATACCTAGATTTATGTTGAACATAGTTACCCAAAAAATAAAACGGATTGTTGAAGGCCCAAAATCTCATTTATAAACTACGTTTTTAACAGAATTAGTCTAATCTCTGAAACGGCTGGATCGATTTTAACGGGGCAATCACTAGCAGACAGCTTGTTATAAGGAGTAACTTAGGTTACTTTCCACGTCGACAAAGTCGTGGGCACAGTTAGTTTTTAATGAGTTACTCGCGCAAGCTATTACAATTATTGTAAACCAGCTTTCCGCCAACGGCCTCGTCCGCGTAATCCTGAATTATACATAAAAAAGTTCCTCATGAATTACTTTGTATGTTGATGAAAACCGTATTGAATCAGTTGTGTAATTTAGTGTAACGTAGTGTGTTGTAGCGTACAATCAGCGGCAAGCGTTTTATACTATTATAGAAGTTCTCTGCAAAGTTCTCGGCTAAAAAGTGACTCACATGTTGCACACGTATTGCAACGTTTGAAGTGTTTTGTATCTGATTATTAATAGAGGGATGATGCCTGGATAAAAAAAAGAAATTCTTTTTAGTTCATCAGTCAGATAATAGAAATACATTAGATACGTATTTTCTTTTTGCTTCAATTTAAGGAGAAATGGCTTACTATTAAAGTTGAGAAGTGGGGGTTCGCTACAACACAACGTCACACAACATTTGAACGCAAAGTATCGCCGTAATTATTGATCTGATCACGTAAAAAGTAAAAAGATACCTATTATTCTTTAATACCCGACGGACGGAAACAAAAATTACTCATCATCCCTTATAATAAGCGGACATTCATAAGTAAAATTGCAATTGAAAAATACTTTAATACTTTAACGGCCAGTTGCACAAACGTTCATTTAAATTGTCATCAGTTTAAAGCGACATTGGCCTAACAAATTTAACATTCATTAGAGCTAAAGATGTCAATAAACCCTAATGGACGTTTGTGCAACTGATCATTAGTCGTTAAAAATACACGATTCACGATAACCGTCTGTTTTTCTTTACTTAAAATGCCGAAAAAGAATTTATAACTAAGATTTAGATTTAGATCCCGTCAGATTCACTCAAATAACCGAAAACTCCTGAAGTTTACGTCTTTATAACATAAAATGTAAAAAAACCCACGAAGACAAAGACAGTTAGTTAACCATCGGAAAGTCGTGACACAAAAAACACAAGTTGATTTGTGAAATAAAAAAAAATCGCGCGCAATCTCTCGCTCGAAGTACGTTTTTCCGATTTGAAAGTGAGTGGCGATTCCAAGTACCAGGGCGTCAGATTCTCGAGGAGTTCGATTAGACGCCGGTTGCCGCCTTTTGCTTGCAACAAACATTATACCAATATAGACTTTAATGCCTGGGCTTAAAGTTTTCGAGCTATTAAACTATAGTCGACCGTTACTGCCACAAACCAAATTACTGTAACAAAAAACTCTATTGTTTACTGAAAATTGCGCAGCCACCACAGAATAATAATGTGTAGGTAATGTTTTGTAATATTTTATGCAATGCTTCATCGCGAGTGCATGTTATGCGATAATACTTATTAATTTTACTAATGCCACTGGACTCTGATATGTAATATTAGATATGCTAATCATGCGTAACGTAACGGGTCGTAATTCAAGTGATGATTTATGATGACTAAACGTTGAAGAATGCCGCACAATTATTTCTTTATCGTTTCGACGAATAAACAATGCGTTTCAATTACGTTAAGAATATTCCCGTTAACCTCTCGTAATAAATTAAACGGTTGTTGTGAGTTTATCTTCTGTTGTCTCAAAAACTGCAACCATTGATTTATGAAACTTAATCTAGCGACTTCTGTAAACCAGTTTTGTCTAAGAGTAGAGTTCTACTATTGTTATTTGGCGTAGGTAATGGTGCTCTGTACTTTATACGAGGCTTAGCTATATCCCCGCGATTTTGCCCCCGCAATTTATAGCCTTTAAGCACCCACGTGTGATGTGACTTCTCGTAAAAACAATTTTCATGATCGGATCATAATTTCCGAAGGTTATTCCCTACATACGGAACATTACATCTTTATGATTTTACAACCTAAAATGTCTTTTAAAGTCTATGATCTCGCCACGAGTATTGTAGCAACTTTAGCGTTGAAGTAGTGCTTTTTATACTTTGTATTTAATTTAACCTTAATTTTAATGTAATCCCATACTTGTTGTATGCTACGTTTGTGGTGGTTCCTCGGTCCACATTCACAGAAGCCTTCACAGCTTCGCTAGCTGAAGTACTGTATTATATAGATGTCTAATTACAACTTAGTCACCGGGATAACTTTAATTATTATTTTTATAAATTATTCCTTTAAGGGATCACCGAGTATAATGTAAATACTCTTAGAATTTTAGAAAAGGCATTGAACTATAGAATTAACGCATAATAATTTTGTCCGCAGGCGGTGAGGTGTTGCCCGCTGGGCGATGCTGGGCGGGGCGGCGGGGGGCGCGCGCTCCCGCCCGCCCTCTGAACTCCAACAAGGTATGGGACCCTGGTACATGTTTTTAACACCAGCGGTGATTTTTTAATAACGGCTGTTCTCTGATTTCGAATTAATTTGAATATGTGAGAGTCATCAGTTTTTATTTTTTTAATATGAAATTAAGTCTATGTGAGGCTTATATCTTTAATAAGTACTTATTACAGATGTATATATGTTTTCAGATGTATATGTGTTTCGTAAAATAGTCATCTGCCTGCATTTTTTTTTACTTTTAACTGAAGAACAGCACAAGTTTAATTAAAATCGATTTACTAATTGAAGATATAAGCCACCGAAGTTTTTATTAACATTAAAAAGGAGTTAAAGAAAAAGATTTCTAATTAAAAGATTACAATTAAAAAATTATCTTATAAACACCTACATATTGAAGTCGAGTGGCCAATGTATTGGGTGCATCCAATATTATTCCATGAACGACCATAGTAAAATATACGAACGTGAGGCCAAAAGTCAATGCAACATGCATATCTTATTGGATACTACGTCGCGTGTTTACTATATCCTAAATTATCGTTTATTTTGAGTGTAGGATGTATTGAAGATAACAAAATTATAGCGTAGCAGTACCTATTTACTATCGCAGTCTAGAAATTCAAGGTAAGTAGCTCAGAACTTCGTTGGAGTATCATCAACAACAAAGATATTGCAACATCTAGACAATATAGATAAGTCCATTTTATACATTGGTCAAGAATTGGATCATCGAGCTTTACTCCTACCTTACTCTAATTGATACGAATTAGTAAAGGCATGGAAGTGAGCTGTAAAATCAACCCTTATATGCAATTGAGGCCGTTATTAAAGCGAGACACCGCTATACGCCTATGAACCTTTCCTTTTCGACCGCAAATAGAGCCCAAGGGCTTGATTACAATTATTTTAACAACATTTGTTTTGTTTAGGTGTGGCCCGCTTCCCCCTCTACTCGTTGTTCCCGACACAAGGAGCGAATCGACCCACTATACATAAAGGTATGTAAAAAATTTAAGAACCCACCATAAATGATCGTTTTAAAATTCGTTTATTCGCTGCTTTAAAGTCACATAAAAACAGGGCCGGATTAGCGACGTTCCCAAAAGTAGCAATTAATTAATTTTTCAAGTCAGTTTTAAATAATACAAGAAATAAAATAAGCCACGCTTATGACTAGTCATATTTTTAAGTATGAACATAAACAACTGATAAATGAAACTTAAGTTACAGATTAGTTAAGTTCTGTTATTCGGAAAGCAATAGATGTTAGTAAAATAGTATACTACTACTAATTGACATATAAAAAACTTTGTAACTGTTCGTTTACCCAAATAAATAAAAAAAAAACAACGCACAATGTAGGTATTTAAAGATTTTTTTTGGTCTTGAACCCCTTAGATTATTTCATCTACTTTAAGTAGATAAGGAACCTTTTGGTTTGTATCTTGTTCGGTTGTTTGTATAAAGAGTATAATGTAGGCTGATATTTATCTATAAATTTCCATTTAGAGTTAATGATATTATCACATAACTAGGTTGACTGGTGGAAAATGCCTACGACATTAAGTCCGCCATTGTGTACATTTGTGCAAGAAGTATCAATTAATATTGTTTTTGTTCTTGCGCCAGGAAAATAATTGTTTTTGATAGAAATACAATTAACTAAACATTGCACGGGAACAACGTTAGAGTAGCTCGGTGGCGTAGTGGATAAGCGCCGCGGCCCGCGATCGTTGTCGTTAAGTAACTCGCAAGGGTCGGTCACGGGATGGGTGACCAAAAATTATTATCTCGAGCTACTCCGTGCTTCGGAAGGCACGTTAAGCCGTTGGTCCCGGCTGCATTTTGCATTTTGCAGAATACCCTCCAATCCGCATTGGGTCAGCGTGGAGGGTCATGGCCCATCCTCCTTAACCATCCATAAGGAAGGCCTGAGCCCCTGCAATGGGGACGTAAATAGCCGATGATGATGAAACGTTGCAACGTGATCAGAATCTTTTTATTTATATTTTATTTATTTGTAGTATTATTGAACACAGATATTTGTGTGGGATTAAAAGTAAAATATATATCGTATAAAACTTAAAAACTCCTTTTTACGATCTGTAATTGATACAGATACAGGTCTGATCAAAACGATAACTGCTTATTCGCGACTGGGTGATAATGCTCCGTGCGTTTTAATACAAGAAACTAATGTATACTACACAGCCACGACCCAAGTGGGTTAAGTTTAAAATTTTCACAATGAATTCTTAGTACTAATACAATACAAAGACAAGATATACCGCGATTCAGACGGCGATATCTATCGAAAGCAGAGTAAGCAATGTATTTAGAAGTTTCTTGTCACAATAGTTAACAACAACATAAAATGATAAACAACGAAATTATTTTGGTCCTCTAGGTCACGTGATAGGTTAGAAATCTTCCTCTTTATAGCATTAAGTAATTAGTGCAGTCTGTATATATTTTGGGATATTTTTCATCAAATAAATCTGTAAATATAATATATTTGTAATACCTCCAATCACCAAATGACTTCGAAGCAAATTTTTTATATATTCCCGTTTTGAATGTGATAGACCCCTTACAAAGATAATGTAGTTTTCCCAATTTTAATAACAGCTCATTTGGACGATAATTCTTTATACAAAAACAGTTTGAAGTTAGTTATTTTTGGTGTTAGCGGTTTCTTACTGCGAAGCATCTGACAGTTTTGGGGGAAGAGGCTTACAAAATAAAGTTAACATTAACAACACCTTTTGAAACGACGGTGGCGTGACGCGTGACGTCCTTTAGAGCCCCGGGCGACGTCATTTAACGCCCCGGGCGACGGAGTTGCTTGTCTGACAGACCGAAGACAAAGCCGAATATTTGTTAAGAAAAAATGAAACGGAACAGTTTAATTGGTATACTGTTGAGTACTGAATTTAAAATTGGAACAACTACCAACCTAAATAATTTTAAATAATTTTCTACTCTTAAAAAAAAAGTATTTACTACCTTACGCCTAAAATTTATTGGAAAAGATACAGATAAGAAAATTAAGAATGAGCGTTCAATTAATCCCTGTAAATTAGAACTGACACATTCTTTACATTTTATTAGATGCTCGTTTAACACAAATTGTCAAATAATGGTGAAGTTGATGTGGCTTCACACTCACCCCACATGACAGACGAGATATACGAACCGACAGAAACAAACACATGATGGACAGATAGACAGCCGAAATAAATTGTTATCATTAAGAATAAGTATGAATCATATTGTAAAGATTTGAAGTGAATAAGTTAGGATTTTCAAATCATGATTTTCAAATATCCTTTATTCAAATGGCTTATTGAAATCACTTTCGGATTGTAATTTTTTACCCACCACCTTCTCAGCAGCAGTAAAAATACAGCACCGCAAACCTTCATTGATTGATTGATTGATTGATTGAATATCCTTTATTGCAATAAAAACAAACACATAAAACGACTTAAAAAAATATATAGGTAGAAACTGCTATGGTAGAAATTTTTACTAGGCAAAATTTGGCTAATAGAAACATACCAGCTAACTACAAATAGTGCAATTAATTAATAAATATACTTAACCAGAAAAATAAAGGAGAGAAAAGAACAGAGTGATGGAGAGACAGAGTATTAAAATAATACATAACACGATGATGATGTTTCTCGAAAGAGTACCGAGACTGCTCACGTCTAATAGCCACTTCATTATTTTTTGAAGTAGGTTTGAATTGATTGAACGCTGTGACAGTGATTTGTTCAACGCTGTATTTTAACAGATTAGTACTGCTTAAAGTATTTAGTCTATTTAGAAGTCTACAATTCAGAGCTAGAGTTAGAGCTGATGAGTATATTCCGCCTATACTCAAGAAATACTTAAATTAATATTAACATAAGGTTCATGACAATTAAATATAACAACAAAACCTGATAGATGTAATTTATATATTTTTTTAAACTCGAAAAAAAGATCGTTTCAAAAAGTTAATCGAATTCTTTCGAAGGTGAAAAATAAAAAAAACGAGTAAATAGTTCTTATGTGATCCACTTACTATAAGTACGTACAGTAGGTATTATGATATTTTTTTTCACTGACATTCACGTGGCGCGTTCACACCGGTTTTACTTTTTATTATTCATGAAATACTATAAAATAAGTAACATAACATCGTTAAGTTATTCATCGCATACATATTCACAACATCACAAGTTAAAAAAACAAGTTCAGAAATTAAAACCTTCAGGTAAATCACGCTCTAAAAGTTAGAATCAAAAAATTTATTTTAAAACGACAGCTATATTATAATAGCAACGTATGCCACAACAGTTTCTTTTGTTATGATCAGTATGATAAGTTCCTCTTCGCTTCGCCGTAGTCGGTTAAAAAAGATAATTATTATTTTACAGGGTAAACTGCTGGCTATTTATATGGTAGCATTTTTGTTTTTTTTTATCACTAAATATGATCAGTTCTTTATTAGTTTACCGCTTATAGTGTAATATATAAGTTATCTAAAATTCATCTATTTAAATTTTTTCTCTCATTTATCTTATTTTTACAAACTTTTATTATTTTATATAGTTTCACCTATCCCGATGTTTATCTTTCTCTCTAAAACAATTATATATAATCGGTATTATTTTTAATCCAATATGGTCGCCGTAACTAAACGGCTGCGTACATATATCCGAACCACCCACCCAATATGGATATCAAATTAAAGGGCTTAACTTGTAGAATACAGTTCAATAAATAAAAGTTTGTTTATAAAAATGTAATACGCTTTTACTCATAACGTCAAGAGCAATTATAAGAAAACATTTTTTTTACGTTTCGTAATCGTTGCTCAGCAAAAAGTATTTCTGTTGTGGACGCGTCATAAGACTTATTTTATATCAAGTCGTAGTTGCGTAGTTTGATTACGCGCTTGTCACTCAAGCGTCGTATATAAAAGACTAGCTTTCCACCAGCGGCTTCGCCGGCGTGGTCTTGTATTATACATAAAAACCTTCCTTTTGAATCACCCTATCTATGAAAAAAACCGAAATCCGTTGCGTAGTTTGAAAGATTTAAGCATACGTAGGGATATATGGAGAGAGAAAGCGACTGAGTTTGTACTATGTAGTCATATGCGCTTGCTCATGTAATCCGAGAAGGAATTTATAATATAATACGTAGCACAAATTGTGAATCATAATATTAAATTCATATACTCGTATTTTCAGTTAAAATAGTCATAGGTAGCTTTTCCCGCAACTTCATCCGCTTGGAAACTACTCAAGTGACTTTCAATGATAAACCTCCATGCAAACTTTCATTCCCTATATCAACCCCATAATGCTTGTTTCACAATTAAAGGTAAATCCAATTTCGTTAAAATTAGTCAGTTCAGTAGTTTAGGTAAAGAACGAGAAAAGTGTTCCGTGGATTTTGGCGTGAAAGCGTAACGTACAGACAAGTTGTGTTTGTATTTATAATATTAGTACGGATTTTAGAATGTGTAGATGTGGAAAGGGACGGCGATTTGGTCACTCTACTCTGTGTCGTGTGTAAAATTGTTTTACTTGCAGTGATGATATTAAGATGGCGGAGTAAGATTTGGCGGTAAAAATAAAAGACGTTATAGGATAGAAGTAATAGCTATCTTTTCATTGCTAATTTATACAATCTTTGGACAAATATGGATATCTCAACTGTGACACAACCTAAGTAGCAAAGTGCTGACTGATTTAATGCCCTTTGTCACTAAATTTCAACAAGTTTTGTACAAGGAAATGTCGTCCAAATAAGCTTTTATTTGAAGTGAGAAAATGTATATAGTATTTCTAAGTGTTCTGTCAAAGACAAATCGCGGTTTATAAAAGTTTCTCTTCAGATATGTATAATACTTTAACGCTTTTTTTAGGTTGAAATAATTAAGAATATTTTATAAATTATATGGCTGGTTTGACAAGCAAGATACTCTGCAAACGCAAATGCATTAAATCGGAATAGGGTCAGTTAAAATAACTGGTAAAACTACATCTAAATTATGATGACCTCGTCACTGAAATGCTCAATTTTGAAAATTAAAATCTAAAAAACAATTAAGGGTTTAAAGTGTCATCAGCAAATCATATAAAATTACCTTTTTTCCTACAACTTTGCCCGCGTAAATAGTTTTATAGCACTCGCGTACGACGATTTCCGAAGGCGAAAGAGTTTTTTAAGATCGGACCAGGTTTTTAGAAGATTCTATCTATCGTTACGCTCTTGACAGAGCGGTCGTGGCCATCATGTTGTCTCGTTCCTTGTCTTTGTTAGTTTGTGCACTATCTCTCGCCATTTCGCCCTGTTGGCCGTCATTCTGGTGCACTCATGTAGTGGGCCACCCTTCTACAAAAAAAAAAACTTCTTTATTTTTGTAATATTAAAATTAATTGCCTTCTTTAACTCGGTTCTTAAAATTTAAATGTAATAAGGTTAACAGTAATGAATTGTTCGCAGTAACGGAGAGTGTATTCTCCACATCCCTGTCGACGTTCGGCGTGCCGACCCCGCCGCCGAACTCGCCATACTCGCCGCTGCAGTTGGAGGTGCTCAACTGCTCGCAGCGACTGGTGCTCGCTGATAAGTAATTAATATCAATTAATATATCCGCCCTTACGGAACTTAAACAACTTTTGTGGCCGAAAATTTATTATCTGGAGCTCCTTCGTTAGCCACGTTATGCTCTTGGTCCTGACTGTATCAGCAGTCCGCCCGCGCATGTGGCGCACATTGGTTATGAATGCAAGGCCCATTCTCCCTATTTGATTCCATGCCTATGTCCTAACAGTGAGGTCATTAACAAATATGAAGATGATGATGGTAGGTATCCATAGGAGTCTTTGACTGGATGCCTTGTGGGGTAGTTAGAGACGACCTAGTGCCACAATGCACGGTTTTAGTTATTTCTTTACATATTGTTTATGCAATAAATGCTTTCCAGTTTTTATATTTTCTGACGTCACTCTCAGATAATCATGATCTTATACATATCGTGATAGCAGCTACAGTATTCTTAACTACAGAAGAAGTCGAACAACTTTTTGCACACTGAAAATGAATTTCAACCGTAACGTTACTTTCTGGTTGTCTCAGGGAGCCAAATAAGATGGATGACGGAAAACTCGGCAAGTGCATGCCCGAATTGTGCTGTCCAGGAGATCGACAAGTTATAGACGGCTTATCAATGATGCAGCCACTTACTATCAAGACGGAACAGGCTAAGAGGTCCTGCAATACCTGTCTCACTAATTCACCTAAAAAGGTCAGTGGCATTTTCAGATCGGAGGATATTATTGTTTGTTAGATATTCATGTGTTTCGTTGTATTTTACAGCTTTTAGAACATTTTATATATTCTAAGGAAAAATATGGTTATTTGTTGAGATTAAAACATAATTAACAAACATCTTGTAATGGTTCACTTAAAAGGACAATGCCAAGCTTTCATAGAAACTTCGGCCAGAACCGACAGACAAGAGTGTTATATTATAAGAAAGGGGAAAAAATATAGAAATTTATATGCACATTATATCTTTAATAAAAGCTCACCAAAAAAAGTTATATTCAAAAAAGTTTTTGTTTTTCTCAACAATTTTCTACATAGTTTTTCATTAAAACAGCCTATTTATATACATTTATGGATTAAAGGTAAAGGACGAAACCTTTTAAGTCATAAAAAAGGATCTGTAAATTAAAAAACATGTAAAGATTAATATTTTTAATTATCAATTGTATCAATTTTTTGTTGTAATAAATTTTCTAAAAACTGTGCTGGCTTCCATATTTGACTGATATCTAGCCCATCCTAAATACCAAATGATCGTCATTATGTGAGCACAGCAACATACAGTTCTACGCCCCACCAAAATTATTGTAGATATACTTGTAAGTATTTTCTCTGGAATTCGAGACTCATATAATGTTATCATCATTAGAGTGCTCCAGCTCATGAATTGGCAAAACTTGCAGATAATGGAGATGGTGCAGTATAATTTACAAATAACACTTTTGCCAACAAGGGTGACAAATTCTGTCTGATGATCGGAGCTGAAAAGAAATAAAATCATTAGAAATATTGTAACATAATCTTTTCTTTCAATGTTTATAGCATTTATTCTAGATAAAAAATAGTTAAGATTTAAATTTCGACTCAGGTAAAAACCCAATCAAAATCGAAATACATAATATTCGTGACAGCTCACAACAATTATTTAGTGCAAAACCAAGAAATCTCATACTATGACATTTAAATAACAAATAGAATACATAAATATGGATGATACAACCATGATTCAGGTACAAATATTTGTGTTCATCACACAAATAAACGCCCCAACCATGGTTCGAACCCAGAACCTCTTGAGGTGTCACAGCCTTAAGTTCTGTGTAGACACCACTCCGCCACAGAGGTCATCATTTGGGTTTGATTTTATATAAATATTTTTAAAGTATAGACACCATCCCATTAGTTTTTAAATACTATCTATAGTTAATTACAGGCTCGGTTTGTTTAGATGTTTTGCATTCCATACAAAGCATAAGCATAACATAATGGTAAATTATAATTGTCAAATAATTGACTTATTATTATTACTATAACTTATTTATTATAATTAAATGAATGTTGTTTCTACTTACTTGTTGTGGCATAATCCTTTTCGCAACAACAGATCTTTTGTCAGTATTGTTGTTTAACATACGAGTTCTTATACAATATTAAAGATCTTCCACAATGTATACATACATTTTCATTACCAATACTTGACTGACTTATTTCAGGCACTTCATTTATAGTAACAACCAACACTCATGACACACCACACTGTTGTTTGGTATCTGTAGGTAAAATGTAAGGGTTACTGTTAATGTTTTCAGTGATCTATGTTGATATGTAAATACCCACAGCATTTTAGTCGTACATGCATCGAAATACTTACGTCTAACTACGAATAAGCCGAGTCGACGAGAATAACAGGTTCAGTCCAAGTTAAAAGCTGAGTCAACATGTAAAACAGATTCTGGTCATAGTTAAAAGCCGGGTCAATAATTAAGAAGTTTCAGATTCAAGTTCGAAGCCAGGTAAATAGATAGAATAAAAATGAACAACAAAGTGAACGAATTGTACCGCAAATGTAATGTTTATTAATGATTATGACAATTAAAAAAAGTGTTGCCATTAACAGATGTTAAATTGTTTTCAATCGATTAATATCGATTGTTAATAAATAATAAATTATATGTTATAGTATGATTATTATATCTTTACTAATTATAGTTATGTAAAATAATAAGGAAAAATATTTTTGTGCAGTAGCAAAGAGAAAAATATTATAACATGGCGTATTTATTGTACTTTTGTTCACTTTCACAACTATTGATTAATTCATAACAATTATCGATTTTCGACAGATTAGTCATTTTAACTTTTTACTGGCAATTTTTTTGTAAATGGCGTACTTTTCACGTAATAGTCGTTGATTAACTTTACAAAAATTACTCGAAACGGTGTGCTGTTTTTAAATCTATTAATAGTTGATAATTTAAAGTATTATAAAATATAAATTGCGATGATAATGAATTGCTTGTCGGCGACAAGCCGTATTTTGGCGATCGGTCATAGAAAAAATTATAATATACTTTTTTCTCAGGTTATACACACAGACGGCGGTTGTAGCCGTACCAATCCAGTGACTTGGCTCGGTGTGGCCGGACAGAACGTCCAGGTCCAAGTCAAGAGGGAACCGCAGCAGCTCCACATGTCAGAGCTGGTTGCTGTCAAACTGGAGCAGGCTTCGCCAGGGAACAAGCCTGAACATCCTCCTATTCCAGCTTCTCTTAACAATGGTGAGTTGAGAAGTACCAGGATTGTAGTGTAGTAAAGAGTTTGTTTTGTGTTTTAGTTTTACCACTTGACAATTTTTGTTTCCTTGAGAAAAAATGAGTCGAGATTTGTATCGAGAATTTCGAAAGAGCTCATCAATGATTTCGTACAATTCTAAAGCAAGGGGAAGTTTTTGATGCATGTCGAAAACTAGAAAATAACAAAATTCTATCAAATAAAATAATATCGCTAAATATGCATAGTTGTTGTACATATATATTTCTTGTGTTTCAGTTAGGTAACCTACCCAAAATAGTGTACTCATCGATAGTCTTTTGAAGCTTAAAATGTTGGTACCTAACCGTAATATTTTGACTACGAATATGCTATGTCTATTTCACATATGCTATTTTATTTTTAATGAGAGCTGTAATTTTGTTTAATATGTGAAAAATAAAATTCATTAGAAAAACGCAATTCTGACTGAGGCAACATATTGCTTCGAAACGAAGGATATCATCAATAGTTTTAATTGCTTTATAATATATTCATGAATAATTCTTAGGCTGCGAAATTGCCATACAATTGCGTTGCAACAGCAATTATAATATTTTTTTTATTCGGCCTTCAACGCCTCCAGCGTTGGCCGGCCTCTGGTAATTTGAAATTCGAACACGCCTCACTATTATTATTTCAAACGGTAGGTACTATGCGTATGATGTCAGTCAACACTGATAGTTCTAACATGTTCGTGTTCGCCTGGTAGATCGACGTGGCGGAAATAAGAGACAACGATGTATCTGAAGGTGTGCGAAGAGACACACTAGACTTTTCTCGTTCCTATCTAGAGAGGCCCAACTTCGATCCGAAACATACACGGCAACGTAGGATTTGTGGCAGTTGTTTATTTTTTGTTTAGTCAGATTTTATCTAAATATAATGTATATAAGTTTAGTTTCTTTTTTGTATATGGGTATAATTTCAATTTAATAAAAAAATTATGTATGATGTTTGACATAAATTGCATAAAAGTCAGCTAGCTAAAATTGACATCGTACAACTAATCTTTTAGACTATGTACTAGTTTTTCAAGGAAAACTACACCTTATTGATGATTTACATTCATTCACAATCATTTCCAAGAATATTCAGATAAACAAGGAAAACATTTTATTTGTTGTTAAATTACCTAACATTCATTCATTATTAACATTTAATGTAAAAGTGAAATGACGTTTGTTAGTTTCACTTAAACACGAGAACAAGTGGACCGGGTTTGGCTGATTATGGTTTTAAAATATTAGGTAGTACATGTCTAGCGAAAGTTTGAGAGGTGAGAAAATACGAAGGAATTGTACGGACAATAGAAAAGTTATTATTTTGCTTTCTCATTAAACTATTCATACTTATATTGAATTTTAAACACATTATTTGATTCTGAGACTAGGAATTACGTATAAATGTAGGAGTTAGTCTAGAGGAAAGATTTGATGTTTTTTTTTGCATTGAAAGGCTTCCAAGCTATTGGACCGGACTAAACATTCATTCACACATCTAATCTATATAGTGACCATTGAATGTAATAATAAATAAGTGACATAACGAATCTAGTCTCCTTACCAGAAGATACTGATCATTCTTTGTTTACAGGTTCGATTCCCGTTGGAATCGCGGTCGCCCGCCAAAGGGTCGGCGATGCCGGCCTTCTAGCCGCACTCTCACAAAAAGACAACCAGCAACGTATGCACGATATAGGTGAGTTTCTAAGTAAATATAATGTAAATAAAAACATTTTCCAAACATTCATACAATGACAGAGTTGTTTTATCATCGTCAATCTTTATGCTTGTTTGTGTGTGACACGCACACACTCTGTGCTTTTCATATTTGGAACACGGACGGCCTCTATCTGCTATTGACAGTTCGACGTCGATGCTTACGCCATCGACTTTGGCCAGTGCTCGGACAAGCTCCTAGTAGATTCTGTCAGCCTAGTAATACTATGTATTTACTGTGATGCGCTTGGTAATGAAAAAAGTAAATTAAACTTAATCGAAGGCCATCCACGGACACGTCATACCTAAATTGTGATTCGTATTGCGCTGTATATAAGGCATCACTTAGAAATGTTATAAAATTGCCAAATCAATTATAGGGTTGCTTCAAATTTTGCATAAACGGAATTTTGTATTGTAGGCCATATAGGTATATAAATTAATTTACCTACAACCATGTGTTGTAAATTCACGGAGTTTTCTAATCGAATGCGCGTTTGTAAACGATATCGTAGTTAGAATATCCGAATCGTTGCAATCACGCGAACGACCGCGTTCCAGATATCCTTGAATTATGACCATTTGGCGCTGGATATATGTATGACTCCAACCGAATGCCTGCTGTTAAAATAGCGACTGTGTTGAAAACTCGCGTTAATCTTGCATTTTTTATTATAATTTGCTCGTTTGGATCTAATAACCTGTTTTTAATTAGCCCATACTGTCCAAAAAAAGGCACAAATAATTAAGTAATAACAGTTTACTCCACTTTATTGTTTTACGTTTTCTTTCTTTAAGTTATTTTATTACATTAGAGTAAAATAAATTAGAGTAATATTGTTATATCAAACATATTTATGTGTACACTATGTGTACAGATATATATTAACAGTGATATAAAATTTAATAAATCTTCCCTAATATACCAGAAATTCATATGTTTAGATTGTGTTTTTCAATGAAAAAATAAGTGTTAAAAATTATAACGGTTATAATTACAGATTTACAACTACTTTTAAGAGTTTGTAAGAAACTATCACTTTTATTAGCGCAAATAATTGTGTGTGTGTGTTTGTACCCTGAAAGATTCAAACTTTCAATACGTATAGATCTGGTTTGAATTTAAGCTATGATTTTTCAACAAATTCTGATTAGAAGAATGATACTTATCTATTCTTAATGTTACGTTAGGTACAGCAATAGGAATGATTTTCAACAACGATTTCTATGCACTCGCATTTTCCTGGTCAGTTATATATTTCTAATTGAACAATCTATCGTAGCTTTTTCCTTGAACTATTAAACTGCGGGCGGCCGGCACCGCTCGCTTTTTTCCTTGTTTTTATATTGAAAACTATCGGAGCGAAATACGCATTAATTGCGGTTTTCCTTCAGCATTGCTCTATAAGCTGACATTTAATTTATGACGCTTAATAGTCATGGTGTGTGCCTCCGTAATGAGATTTATTACACAAAGACTTTGTGTCCTACAATTATATGATAATTACATAATATAGGTGTTTTAACATTGATATATGTTACTTTTAGATTACGTTACCATAGAACCGTGTATAAAGAATATTTTTTTGCGGAATTGCTTTACTCTCAGTATCAAATTTGCAGTTTTAGCTACCTGATAAGGTCTTGGTGCAAACGTTTTATTCCATGTCTCCTAAACGCATTATTTTATATAAATTAATAGATAAATATATACTATTTTATAGAGGATTAAAGCTAACCACTAATACTGACATCATATTGACCAAAACAAAGTATAAAAATAACCTGTAATTAAAACTGATGTAAGAGTATGACATTTGCAAGCCACACTGGTTCTAGGCTAAAACGTATCTATAAAATGTTCTCCACATAAAAACTTAAAAAAAATAGCACCGAAAAAATTGATAAATAATACTTATATCGAAAGCGACTTTTTCAAGAAAATGCTATTGAAATCGGGCGGAAGTCCTCTGTAGATTATTAATTAAATGATAGGCACCCGACTTCAATAGCAGTTTCTTGTATAAGTCGCTTTTGAGATAAGTATTATTTCAAGAAATCGATTGAAATACCTACTTTCATAAAAAAATATACACACTCCTTGAAATCTTTTGTTTTTACCTGAAATACACTACATAATAAAAGATATCATCTAAATATTTAAGTGATATATCGTGATAAGCATATTTTGTTTTGCTATAAAAGGAAATCTGCTGATTCGATTTCGATAAAATATATATGGGATCACTTCGGTTCATTATTCTATCGAATACAAAAAGAATTTTGAAAATCGGTCAATAATTGGCGGCAATATCGGTGAACATACATAAAAAAGGCATACATATCCGTCGAACATACATTAAACCTTATAGATTTTTTAATTCGGTTAAAAAATAGAAAAAGTTAATAGAAGTAACTTTTTCTTTACGTAGATATTTAATATCTTATAATTGGAATGTTTACAAACACGATACCGAATTCATATGAATTTCCATTTGAGCTACTATAATTTATATATGATTTTTGACATTATTCATAATCATCGTCAGATTCCAGATAATACAGCATTTTAGTTAATCTATAATATGATAGGAGGTATCTTGCGTTTTACGCTGTTGGCGCGTAATAACAAAGTAGTTTCTCAACCAGTTGTACAGATGTCCATTTAAATTATCATTATGCTTAATCGACATTAGATTTTTTCTAAATTAAAACATTAATTACAGCTTAAAGTCGTCATAAAAGTTAAACATATAGATCAATGCAGCCGCATTTGCTTTTCCTCCTATCCTAATAATCGTAATGTTAAGAAGCAATGTGGGATTACATGTCAATTGTTAATTAATGTAGTTTTTAATTTTGTAATTAGATCAGAGGCCAGTATTTTTTATTACTTTGTTCGTGCAGAATTCCCATAACATCTACATACTAATGTTTCATTCGCGTGTCCCCAAACAAAGGATGTAAGCATTTCTTATTTTCGAGATAATGTAATGAAAATATACAATTTATACTTGAAAATTCGCATCACATGATTTTTATATTGTTTTTGAACTTTCAAACAAGTTTAGTTTTTTATTTGTTTTGATATCCTAACTAGTTGAATAATACCAGGATATCAGAAATGGCGAGGTGAAGTTGTTTTGCAAATAATGATTATTTGCTTTGTGCAAGTTTTCATAATTTCAAAATTTATTTATTATTAATACCATTTATACTTAGCTCCGTTGATAATTACTATAATTTACCTGAAAATTCATGTATTTCAAAAACATTCTAATTATATAAGTTACTAAGAAAACTTTCTTTAAGGTTTTTGTAAATACTTCTTTCTTTCCTCTTCCACTTTCGGACTTTTATGCAATTTATGTTGATACCGTAGGGCTGAAAAGGTAATTATTTGATTTTAATACAACAAGCATCTTCATCAAAAAGTCTATTAGAAAATTGGGAATATTTCAATAAAGTCCATCTATTGATTACTAATTATTATACTTACAAACTTTTTTACTACTGTAAACAATGAAATTATGACAAATAAGTAGTACTAATTATGCAAAAATGACTATAATATTAGGTTTTATGAAAAACCATCATAACTGTTTGAGTTTAGTGAGGGGTGACGTTGACAAATGTTGTTTGATGGCGACTGCGACGGAGCCCATATGCCGTTCGATGTACACCTTCAATGTTGCTTTGGACTCCTGGTACTTAACTTCTAATTTAACTATGTCCGTTAAACCTTTTTCATTTGTCATTAATTTCAAAATATTCAAAGAACGCGGCGTATGTAAAAAAACCATTATAATAGCTTAATGTATTACTTCCCACATAAGTGCTTCCAATTGAACCAACTAGCGTTATTAAACTAAATAAAAGTAAAAGCAGTTCAAATAAAACGCACACAAGAACCGCTCCCGTTACAGCAGATAGCATCGTTCCAAACAGATAATATCGTGATCTAAATTATTTACACCACAAAAACGCACTCGTCTACAATTACATGCTAATAAGACTTTAACAATTACAATTAAATGAGTGCTCGTTCGCTCGCGCGATCATAAATTTTCACGCGTGATACCAAAAAATACGGTGGTAACTATTGTTTATACAATAGCGCTTTAAAATGTTTGCAATAGCCAATGCGAAAGCCTTTTTATACATAATGTAATGATTTATGTCACACGATAAACCAGGGTCGTATACAGGATGTAAAGATTCGAGTTAATAATATGTATATAATGACAGTACGTTTTAAACTAAAGTACCAGGAAAGTAAAGAGGTTGATTGAATTTTAGAGGAATTTAAAAAGAAATATTTTTGGATATCCAACCATTGTCAAGATTTTATACTGCTTAAATTCGATCTCCTAAAATCTAATATATCATTAATTCTTTAAGCTACTTTAAATGTACATAAATGTTATTGCTTCATAAAGTACATCCTTTAATGTCCGTCTCATTTAAATTCCTCAAAAGTCTATTGAGCGCCATTATGTGCAAATATTAGTTGATTGGGATCGCTTCTAAGGAACATTAAATAGTCGTTGAAAAGTGTATAAATTAATATACATAAGTGCGAGTACGCTGCTTACACAAGAACAAGTTAACTTGCCTTGAGATTTTAATATTGATTAATTCATTGTTGGTATTAAAAAGTATGAAAATTAAATAAGCAAATAAAGTACTAAAATATTGCATGTGCATTTGTACTGTTTAGAGAACTCAATTTAACTCATAAAGAGTTATTATAATTATTATCGTTATTCGATAATTTTGAAGTAGTTAATTTAAATGAAAAAAAATAAAAGGCCAGTCCCCGTCATCTTTCTTTTTCATTCCTCTTCTGAGCTTTAGAAAAATATTCAAACAAAACAAGCATGAGATCTATATTTAATAGTTTTATGAATGTTGTAAGTTCGTAATAGCGTGATCGAAGAACATGATAAAATACCGGCATAGCTACAGTTTTAGCAGTAT